AAAAAGTCAATAATGGTCGGTGCTAATATTGCAAATCTTGTCATACAAGTACCCTATTATTTTGCAAAGTTATCCCTCCGTAGAACGGAGATACCATCATCAGAATATCCACATAAAGGAGGATTTTTCCACCAAGACCTACAATGAGCAATGTCACAAACTTGTGCTGGCAAATGATGTCGTATTATCTATATCTTGAGGGTTGACATCTCGACCGAGATGACACGCCGGATTGTTAATTCTGAAATAATGCCATATATGAGTTTTCAGCAACACAAGTGGCTGATGTCACTTAAATGATTTGTTTTTAGAAGTTTTAGCACTTGAATTATCACTTGGAAAGTGATGGTATCAAAGTGAACATAGCACGAAAGTTGTAGAACTGTTATTGTTCTCCTCCCGTGATTACTGTCATGTTAGGTCATTTTTTCATTATGTTTTTATTTTTAAACTTGTCGTGCCATGTTGCATGTGTGATTGTCTTGTCATTCCATTCCATTTTCCCATCATGTTTGAATTTAAATTTGTTAGGTCATGTTGCATGTGTGATTACCGTGTCATGTCATTTTCTTGACATCTTTTGAATTTGAATTTGTCATCTCATTTCCTCGTCATGTTCTAAGTTCAAATCTATCATTCCATGTCACGTGTGATTATCGCCATACCATTTATTTTTTCATTGTTTTGGATTTCAAATTTGCCATGTCACGCGGTATGTGAGTATTGTCATGTCATGTTTTTGAATTCCAAAATCGCTATGTTATGCTGGATATAATTAGTGTTATGCCATGTCATTTCCTTGTTATGTTTTGATGGCAAGATTGTTATGTCATTTTGCATGTGATTATTGACCTTTCATATCATTTTCCCATCAAGTTTGAATTTGAATTCGCAATGTCATCATTAGGAGTGCACAGCAAAGATCTTTTATCTTCACCCAGGGAGATCTCTAGGGGAGAGCCTAATTCTAAGTCCGTCAACATATTTAATTGGACCCGCCTTCACTCAAAGGCAGAACCAATGAGTTAAAGGCCAACTAAAATATTTTAACTACTCCACATGCGCATTTCAACAATTTCCCCCTCAATTCAAGCATACTTCTACGTCAACATGTCTCAACTTGAATCGTCAACGCCCATTTTCATCCCTATTTGAATTTGAATTTGCCATGTCATTATAAGGAGTGCTCGATATCTTCACCTGGGGAAATCCTCAAGAAAGAGCCCAGGTTCAAGCTCGTCAAAATATCTTATTGGACCCGTCTTCACCCAAAAACTTAAGCCAATGAGTTGTAGATCAATTAAGATATATTAAATATTCCACACGTGCATTTCAACAGTTTCCCCTTTAATTCAGGTATACTTCTGCATAGTCTCAACTTGAATCGCCAACGCCCATCTTCTTCTCTGATCTCTTTCTCCGAACCAAATCAGCTACCATCGAAACTACATTGCTACACCACAATGTCCACCTTCACTCCAGATCTCTTCCGCCAGTCTAAACCATGAAGGTTGGCCGAAAACCACATTGGTGAAATTCCTTCCTTGAAATATTCACAAACAACAATACACGTTGAGAATGGGCCACTAATCAATCATTGGCTTTGATACCACCATTTGTTCACAATGCGCAACACAAATCCGATACCTTCATCTGGGGAAATCTTTGATACCTTCACTTAGGGAGATCTCCAAGGGATAGCCTAAGTTCGAGTCCATGTCTAAGCTAGTCAACATATTCAGTTGGACTCATCTTTGCTAACGAGTTTTTGGTTAATTAGGATATATTAATTACTTTACATCACATCATGCCTCCAATGTGAGATTTTTTCAACCACAACTCACACGTGAAACTCTGCAGTCATATCACGTGTAAGTATTTTCATATCATGTCATTCTCTCATCATTTGAATTTCGAGAACTTGTTACCAATGCATGACGAGAGATTGCTTCACATTGTTTTATTTACACAAGAATTACATTTAAATGTAAATCAGGAATCGTCAATTATATGTCATTTCATTCAGGATAGTATTGTATATTGTACACTTTACTACTAATTATTCTATGACTATCAACATACATACTGATAAAATACAATGTACTTTACGTCATCTGATAGGTATATTATTAGTCGGTTAAAATGAAATCGATTCTCGTTTGCATGAGATTATTGATTCCCACAATAAGTACGTATCCGTTACACCTCGAATTTAATCAAACATATGAATCAAGATTCAATTGTTTCTGTAAGTCTTCATTCTTCACAAATTCTTCAGGACTTATTCCCTTATCTTGATCCCCTGAAATCTGTTGATACTCCTCTTCTAACATGCCCTTTCAATAAAGCTAATGTATATAGTTTGATCTTCTCCCGGCATTGTCTACTCAAAAGCTTCTCAGTATTTCTTGCAACCCACGCGATTCATCTTTATCTTATTCCACAACTCTATTTCCTTTTATACTACCACCTTGAGTTTAAGGTTCAAGGTATTCTAAAACCAATTCAATCAGTTCATGATCTCTCTGGTGTCCTCTTGTGATACCTCAGGTCATTTGCAGATGAGATTGACGGTCTAAATACTGAGTATTATTCACATAGTTGAACTTGAGTTAAGGTTTATTTAAGGTTGAGTTTTGCAGATTTGCAGTGAGGCCTATAAGCAGGATCTTACATAGTTTGTAACCTTGTCAATACAATTAAATGAAATATTCATCTAACTCTGAGATAATGAGCTATTTAAACTGAGGCTAGGCTCAATTTGGCATGGTTTTCTGAAACAAACTTTGCTCGAAAGTCGACTGAAGCTCAAGTTAAGCAAGGTCGAGCTTGAACTGCAGTTTCTGAAGTATGATAAGTTCTGTATATGGAGAGATTCAACTACCACATGCAGGGCACATCAGAGAGTATGAGCCAAGATGAGAGAAAGAGACGTCGGCCATCTGGTGACCACAGGTAAGCCTACTTCCGCACCAGTGGTCTCAAACATGATAGACGCTTGCCGCCATGGTGAGCATCGCCGGGCCGTCATTTCACTCTCCCTCCCTCTCTATTGCTCTATCGACTGGGCTTAGCAGCACGACCACCTCGCGATTGCGGCAGTCTCCGAGAAGCAATAACCACCACATTGTCACTCGCTCGCTCTCTCCTCTCTCATTTGCGGTGGCGAACTTAGATTTGTGACAATAACCACCATATATTTGCCATCATGAAGGTTGCTTAGTTGATCTAAGTTTCTTGATTTATTATTTTTATTTAATTTTTCTCAGATCCTATTTTCTATTTCTTATTTATGAGTTTTTTATTTGATTAATAATGTCTATGTCCAATTTTATATCGGATAAGTGCACTAGAAGTCATAAAACTTGTCGAGAAAGTGCAATTAAATCTTAAAACTTTCAAAAAGTGCAATCAAGTCCTAAAGTTAACACTGTCAATTTGTCTATCAAAAAATGCTAATGTGTCATTTTAAAATTAATTTCTTTCTCATATGTGGCATTTTTTATTATTTTTCTTCAAATCTTATTTAAATTAAATTAAAAAAACTAAAAAAAATCTAAAGTTTTTTAAAAAACAACAATAAAAAAAAGAAGGGGAGGCCTCCCGGCAAGGCGCTGCCACCACTAGCCCAAGCAAGGGCCGGCAAGGCTCGCTCAAACACTGGCCCTCGCCTGGGGCTCGCCTAGATCTGGGCAATGCCGATCCCAAGTGAGGGCTGTAATCACCCATATCTGGGCGAGCCTCGCTGGCCCTTGCTTGGGGCCGGTGATGGGCGGCGGCGGCAGCACCCTACCGACAAGGCCTCCCCTTCTTTTTCTTTTCTTTTTTCATTGTTGTTTTTGTAAATAAAATTTTAGCTTGTTTTAATTTTTTTAATTTAATTTTAATAAGATTTAAAGAAAAAATAATGATAAAATACCACATAAGAGAGAAATTATTTCAAAAATGTCACGTCAGCATTTTCGTTAGACAAATTGACAGTGTTAACGAAAGGATTCGATTATACTAGTTTGATAAATTTTAGGACTTGACTGCACTTTTTGAAAATTTTAGGATTCAACTGCACTTTCGTGATAAGTTTTAAGACTCCTAGTGCACTTATCTCATTTTATATTCAGTAGTTTCCCAAACAAATGACGGGGAGTTAAAAACGTTCGAGGGATATTTATTTATTTCATCTTATCACACTATTACTGCTCATGACACATATTAAGCATGCAATTAAGAAACATTCGCAGTTATCAATAAATGCATTTTTTTGTCGTATTATCAATTATCACTGTTTTGATCATCCAAAGGCTCTTTATAAAGTATGCCAACTCATTAATGAGACCCAATTTGATTTTCTCCGCCAAACCCTTTTTCTATACTTTTTTGTGTATACTTGTGATTCTTTTATTTGGTAAAAGATGTCCATATTCAACTCTATATATGGTGTTCGACCAACAAAAAAAATCCATGCATGGTGGCTTACAAAAAAAGTTGTTAGATAAATAAAAACAGCCGGTGGTTTTTTTTTTATTTCATCTTGTCATATCCTATATTATCCTGTATTCTGAAGACTAAAAATAGTTTTACGGTTCCAATTATCTCTCGAGTATTGACTCACGTCGGAATCAAAACGACAGTGTTATTGAATCGTACTGTAAAGCAGGATTTATTACAGAATCTACTCGAGTATTGACTCACGTCAGTAGCCGGACGACGGTGTTACTGGATCGTACCGTGGAATAGAATTTTACTACGGAAAATCATCAAATTCATGACAAATTCCAAAGTCTTTTTTCTCCAGCTCTGCCCAAATAGATACATCTCCCCAGAGAAGAACACTACAGTAACCTTTTGACTTTTTGACCGTAGAAACATTTTCACAATGTATACAGCATGAGGTGAAGTCCAGATAACGCCATTGACTCTTATCTATCCGCGGTTTCTCTCTCCTCCTCCTCCTCCTCCTCCGCCACTCTCTCTCCTCCCCACCACCACCATAGTTGGAGGTGGAGCCCATGGCTTGACCTCTGCTCTGCTGTCTTTTCTGCTTACTTACCCCTCTCTCTCTCTCTCTCTCTCCATTCTCTTGTCTTTCTGAATTCTATTGTGGGCTTGCTGCTCTTGTTCTCTGAGCACAGAAAAGTGGGTTTCTCTTCTTTCCCTTCTTTTATACTTTCCTCACTAAACTCTCTCTCTATCTCTCTGTGGAGGAGCAAATACCAAGAAACCATATCCATTTTTCTCTCACTTGTTTTGATGGATCTGCAAGATCTAGCCTCCCCATGATCTCCTCCTTCGTTTCCCTTCCCCTCGAGTGGCTTTTGATGGGCCGATGAATTCTGGGTATGTGTGATTTTCTTGCTTTCATCTTTCTTCCCTTTTCTTGGGGGCACTGCGTGGAAAACTAGGAAGCTGGGAAGATGACACGTGATCAGTAGTCATTCTTGGAGATTTCTGAACCGGTGGGTGCTCTTGTTTTCTTCCTTTTCCCCTATGTGACGAGTCAAGACCTTCTGGATTTCCTAGAGGCTGACCGAACTCTCCCCTGTTAGAAAATGCGACTTTGACTTTCTGCATTTCTTCTTTGTCAAAATCTGTCCTCTTTTCTTCTTTTCTTCCTGTGGGGTTTCAGTTGATTCCTTTTTCCTCCTTTTCGGCCTCCAGCTGCTGCTGTTGTCGCGGTTTCATCTTTAGCAGAGGAAATGAGGCGTGTATTGCCGGTGGTGATATTTTTCTGTGTTCGCTTAATCTGCAGCTGAAATGGAAGCAAAGCATCCAATCTTGGACTTTTCTTTGACGGCGCGAGCCAAAATTTCTTAATTAATGACCTGCAAGTTTGAATGCATTGCTGACTTCGTTGTGTACTTGCAGTTTATATGCCTTGTGTTGAGGTGGGTTGTAGAATCTTAAGTTCCAGTAGATTATGGCTATGAGAGTTTAAGAGTATTGTGTCAAAAGAGGGTCTGCATCAATCTGTATAATTTGATTTCACCTGATTTATATTGATCCGTGCTGGGTTCTTGTTTCGTAATCACCAATCTTTTGCTTATGGGAAGTATCATAAACACTCCTCACTTTTGATTCAAGGACCAGTTACCTCTATTTTTGCAAAATATCATTCACATACCTCTAAGCAAACCTCTATTTTCTCTAAAAAGTATGTATTTGGTATTTTCAAGAGCAGAGGTATAATGAAAGGTCAGGTATGCTGTTGGTATTTTCCCTTTTGTTTATGACTATGATGACATGGTTGCTATGTCACTCTTGCAGTGTGAATCCATTGACGTGATCAGAACTTGGAAATAAGAGGAACCTAGTCTTGCTAGATGTGCAGAATCTGGGGAGGTTGTTGGGTGAGATGAGGGATGTTATCTGGGTTGATGAACTTTCTGTGGTCCTGTTTCCGGCCGAGGTCAGACCGATATGTTCATGCGGGTTCAGACTCTGGAGGCCGCCAAGATGGGCTGTTGTGGTACAAGGACTTGGGGCAACACCTAGTCGGTGAGTTCTCTATGGCCGTTGTCCAGGCCAATACTTTGATAGAGGATCATAGCCAGATTGAGTCGGGGTGTTTGAGCTTGCATGAGTCCGGACCTTATGGTACTTTTGTCGGTGTATATGACGGACACGGCGGACCCGAGACATCGCGCTATGTTGTTGATAACCTCTTTCAACACCTCAAGAGTATGTCCTTCAACTCTACTCGACTTTTCATTTGATGTCTCTAGCTATTCATTTCTCCAATATGGACACCACTGAGCTTAGAAAGGCCAATAGATTGATCGTTCTCCGTAGTTGGTTATTCAGCAGTTGCCTGTTAAGACTAGAGGATTCCTATGCATGACCTAATTGGCCAGAAAATAGGCATGACAAGGTCATTAAATGCTGTGTCCAGCCATTTGCATCTGCAGCCAAGAGCTTCTTTGCCCTTCGGCTCTTGTTGGTGCATTCAGATGCTAAGTAAAATCTTTCAAGTTTCATACTCATAAATCTGGCAGCAATAAAAATTGGTCTCCTTCGCTGAACTTATAAAATTCAGATAAGTGTTTCGTGAAATATTTATATTCCAATTGATAAATTAATATGTCCCTAATGGCTACCTGAGTAAATTCAACATGTGATTTTCTGCATATTTCATATTGACCTTCCAGTACTGGGTACTGATTTGTATTTTAATACAACTTCCAGTGTCTACATCAGAGCATCAATCTCTGTCCGTTGACGTGATAAGGAAGGCGTACCAAGCCACTGAAGAGGGTTTTCTTTCTATTGTCACCAAATTGTGGCCAACAAAACCACAGATTGCAGCAGTTGGATCTTGCTGCCTTACTGGTATAATTTCTGGTGGAACACTTTACATTGCAAACCTTGGTGATTCACGAGCTGTTCTTGGGAGAGCTGTCAAGGCAACGGGGGAGGTTTTAGCCATCCAGCTGTCAACAGAGCATAATGCTAGTATAGAGTCCATAAGACAGGAACTCCATTCGATGCACCCTGATGACCCACAGATCGTTGTTTTAAAGCATAACGTATGGCGTGTTAAGGGCCTTATTCAGGTAATGTTTTTGCAGCATGGAACATGATGGATAAAATTATTTTCTCAAATCCTCGAGATTCTTGCTTTGCTGTTCAACCTTATTGATCACATGAGGTTCTTTTTAGTATAAGTTGCCAGGATCTTGCTCTACATCACTTTTTCAAAAGATTGATTGATTGTGCACACAATGAGATGGCTTCATAAAGTAAATGAATTATATGTTGTAAGGGCTTTGGTTGATTGTCTAGATTTTTAGCTCAATTAGTCACAGATGTTGTCTGGTTTGAACTTTATGATTTAATAGTTCGTGCTCAAATTTTAGCGGACGTCCATAAGTATTGAGATGGCACCAAGTTCAATCTTGGATTATAATTGCCTGCCTGTCAGGCTTAGAAGTGAGGTGCCTTGATAAACCCATCCTGGCCTTAAATATGAAGCAAATCTACTACAAACACATGCTTACTAGAGTCCCGTTTCTGTAGTGCTATGTATTTTGTTTCTTTATACTGTTTTGGTGCTATATAAGTACGTAAGGTGACAGATCTGGAAACTTAGACATAACTGCCGTGCTGCTTGTTTGCAGATCTCACGATCTTTCGGTGATGTGTACTTGAAGAAGGCTGAATTTAACAGAGAGCCTTTATATGCCAAGTTTCGCCTTCGTGAACCTTTCAGAAGACCAATATTGAGTGCAGAACCATCAATTTCAGTGCACCAATTGCAATCGCATGATCGATTCATTATTTTTGCATCTGATGGACTATGGGAGCACATTGGCAACCAGGAAGCAGTTGATATTGTTCAAAATCATCCTCGCAATGTACGTATATCTGATTACCGTTATTTACACATTCAGGAAAATGCACAGAGGAGGCTGCACATGAACTTTTGTATGGACTAAGTTTAATTTAGGTCCCGTTGTTCAAAGAAAGTTTACCCGAATGCTGCTAGGGCATTTTAGTGAATCTTACACTTGACATGGAATTTTTCTCGGTTGCCTTCACTTTATATGCCCATTTGCACTTGTGTTGTGGTCATTGAGAAGATTTTGCACTCAATAGATCAAGTTTTTTTAATGCTTCTTGTGGAAGTTTTTTTCCCAGGAATTAGAAGAAAAGAATTGACGGACGAACAAACAATACACAACCAAGACCGATCTAGCTACCTGCTACTTAAGAGCTACCTAAATCTATCAGAAAGCAAGTTAACAAGTAGTATCTTCCATTTAGCCAAAAAGATGAAAGCTAACAGATCTCTTTTCGGCAGGGCATTTCAAGGAGGCTTGTTAAAGCTGCTCTGCAAGAAGCGGCCAAGAAGAGAGAAATGAGGTACTCGGACTTGAAAAAGATTGACCGTGGTGTCCGTCGCCATTTCCATGATGACATTACCGTGATCGTTGTTTTTCTCGACTCCAACCTTGTGAGCAGGGCAAGCTTGATAAAATCCCCCAATGTATCCGTCAGAGGGGGAGGAATCAACTTGCGCCCCAACACGTTGGCTCCGTACTCCACAAACGGTACCACTTGAAGATGCTGCTTGCGATCTCTCTACGTGCTGCAATTTTTCACACATGTGAATAGGATACCCGGCAGCTTCCTTTAGTAGAGGGGGCGAGCCGTCGATTCTTTAGTGTACACAGCGACGTCTCTTAATGTAGAACGGATGCTTTTAGCTTCTGGGATGATGGAAAAAAAAGGGAGCGGAACTGTTGACCAGTAACTTCCGATGTTAATTTAGTATTAGGACAGTTGCTCTATGTACTTCCTTTTCTTTTTTTTCGCTCTCGTGCGCCTTTTAGGTTTGTATATTTGCATTTTTTTTCTCTGAGAAAATGATTCACTACATGGAATTACTTATGTAAAGCAAGAAATGTCTAATTTGTGTTCCCTTTCCTATTGGCATTCACCCCATTTAGTGGTTTTTCACATTTTTTATTGAGGCAGTTTTTGGCTCTTGGGGAAACTCGTACCATCAGTTGCTCCTTGGGACGAAACAATGTCCGAGATGGGAAGTGATTGAAACCGGTCCATCTTGCCTCAGAGGCACTTGCAATGAAGACACATCACACGGCCTCGTTTATTGTGGCCAGCCATTGGGCTGTGCAGAGCGAACTGGCAATGCTGCAACAGGCCAATTAATGGGTCAATGATAGCTCAGGCCACCCTGGACTGAATTGGCCGGATTGGTACAGACGCAGCACGGCCCTTTCGCTTGCTAACGGGACAATGAACTGTGTCGGCAATCTTGCAGAAGGATGAAATGTATGTTCTTCTTACATGCGCCGGGTCTACTACGTATTCTATGTTGATTTGGACAGCTGAATCAGGTGGGTCTCACGAATAATCAATGAAATGATTCCCCCTTCCAACTTGCAACTTTTAAAAGCTAGTGTTAATGGCCTCCTTTTGGGTAGAGGGGAAATGGGGTCGACATAAGAATTGGGATTCCAGACTTCTATTCTATTCTAATAGGGTGGGAAAAGGGCAGCCAGACTCTGGGCAACCTTCTTGGTATTAATGTAGGAGTTCCATAGTTGCAACAGAATACTCGATTTGAGATATAACCAATTCCCATTTGAGAGAGAGCCGGTCGCCGTCACCCCCTTTGCAATGCCAGTTGGAATCGAGCTGGCTGTAACCTACATCTGGCACAAGCCAAATCAATACTGTAGACAAACCGAGAGTAATACGGAGATTCAAACCGGGGACCTAGAAACACATTCGTATTTCGATATCCATTGCCATGAATCAAACATCGTTGTTGTTTCTTTTTTACATGCTGGGACATAGGAAACGAATTACTCATCTCATTCCCATTCTAATTCCAGTCCACCGCATCAAACTCACAACAAGGTCTGCTTCATTTCCTTTCCCTATGTTATTATCTCACTGAGGACATGCACAAGACAATTTTGCCCCCATCAGACCTTGTGGTAAGTGTTCGACCTGTTTTATCACAAAAGGGAGATGCTACTGGATTTATCTTTTGGTATTGCTAAATGCGTTGTGAAGTCGAGAAATGTAATGGTGTTGGGGTCAAATTGGCAGCAGGTCCAACACAAAGAATCAGCTTTCTGTGGGAGTAATTCCATTACACCCCATGTGTAATTGATCCAAACACCATCTTATCTACTAAATCAGGCGAGACTCGGTGTGAAAATCATCGACTCAATTTGTCATGGCTTTGGAAATGAATTTCTCCTTGCACGATGATGTAAACAACGACAATCATGAGTAAACGCTGGCTGTCTGGCCTAAGCAGCTATTGGACCAAGATCAACAAGCATGACTAATGCTTGAGACTCACGATTACGCCATGCTCGCTCAAGAAAAGCTGTTGAATTTTGAGCATGTCTAAGATGCCCAAATTCACCTTGGTTATTGGTACTTAAAAGCTTTCGCGTTTGCAAACACAGAGACAGGAGTTAGGTACCAGGGAAGAGGGAAGAAAAGTACTCCCAAGCAAGCCTGGGTTTGAATCTCCTTGCATGACGATGGAGACAATGATATCATGAGCAAACGCGGTCCGGCCGAAGCAGCTATTAGACCAAGGTCAACAAGCATGACCAATGCTTGAGACTCACGATTACGCCATGCTCGCTCAAGAAAAGCTGTTGAATAGTGAGCATGTCTAAGATGTCCAAAATCACCTTGGTTATTGGTACTTAAAAAGCTTTCTTGTTTGCAAACACGGAGAAAGGAGTTGGGTCCCAAGGTTGAGGTTAAGCAAGCCCAATAAATGCATTCGACTGCATCAAACTGAAGAAGAAATCCTCGATATAGGTTAGACCAAAAGTCTTAATTTGTTATAGAAGGCCTAAACCTGGAAGGAAACGCTCAAAAGCATTCTTTCAATTTCTGCATTACAGATTGGCGAACAAGTTGCTCCAAAGCAGCCAGTTTGTGCGGAGAAACTACAAAATAATACCCGCAGCGATACAACTTGCCAGAGTTATGCATGCGCGCACAGTCAAACTAGGGCAAAACATTACTGGAAGTTCAGATTTGACACAATTCAAAATGCTCCAGTTCTAGAAATTTTTCGAGACATAATAAACAGAAACAACTTTGCTAAAGCTTATGATGGAAAAGCTCTCTAACACGGGGTAAAACTGCCAAGAGGTAACAATGTCTTTAGTAGTAGATGTCTGTTACGTTGCTGAACAAAATGAAAAAGCAAGTCAAGCTTCACTTCTTTGTATAGTGGATTTTGTACAATGTGCAATGAAATGCATCCTAAAGGAGCTCGGGCATGATCATGCAATGAATAGTTACAGGTTTCAGGTTCGACTTAATGCAGCAATCATCTCCCAACCCTACCTAAGATACAAGGAAGCAAAGAGCTGAGAGAATAGGATGAATTCGCTAATTAAGGCAGCAGGAGAATGTATTCCAAGAAAAGGGACAATGTCCACCTGTAACCAGCTCTCTACTGCTGAACCCACGACAGCTCCAGCCACAAGCCCTCCTATGGTTATTATAGTGGCCTTACCTGCAAAAGCACACAAGGCCAGTGAAACTCGTTCGCTTCGCATGAATGACACGGGGTTGGATCGTATCAAGAGAGGGCTATATCTCTAAGAGAAAATCCTACCTAGCTTGATATTCTTTCTGGTCATAAAGTACAAGGAAGCTCCGAAGCTAGATGCAAGGATCAACCCAGGAACATCAGCACCCGCATAAGGTGCTACAGACAGTGTGGAAGCTCCATTGACATACGTTAAAACAATCAATGCACCATAAACACCAACTTGTAGGCCCAAGTCTCGAGTCGATGGTGTTTCAACGGACAAGGGCGAATTCTTGACAGTAGTTTGCAACCATTGAGGCATCGAACCCATGGTAGGAGTACCAATTGGTTTAACATCAGCATAGCGAATGCTACTGCTCACAACTTTTCCAGCTCTCCGCTGAGTTAAACTTTGCATGAGCAACATATCATATGCAGCCTCGACCTATAAAAAATTTATCCACAAAAAATGTCTATCAATTACCGCCTAAATCCACCATCTAATCTTTTTCAATACTCGCAACAACGAAATATCCAACAAGTACATTAGCTGGAAGAGGAAATCAGTTGATTGGGACACATGATGAGATCATCTCAATATTAACCAAAACTGAGAAAGCCAATAAGAAAAACAGACACATACTCTATAACAAAACATGCAAATCTTGAACTAGGCAAAAGTATTTTTAGGTTAGCACAATTTCCAAAAGAACGAACAACATAGCAACGTGCAACTTCAACATCATATTTAAGATCCATTTAAAGGTTGAGACTTTGGATTATCAATTATATAAAAATAATGTATCATAGGTATCGCTTATCACTGGGCCAAGGAAAATTTCTGAACAATAAGAGAAACAGATAGATTATGATACATTCCTAAATTTTAACACCTAGGGAATGATATTCATCAAGAACTACATTCTTTTTTCCACACTTGTAACCTTTGGTTTCCTGAAATATTCTCAGGAAAGAGATTTTATCTTTTTAAATCACTCATTAAATTCAATATCTGCTTTCTTAGATCATTAAAAAGTACAAGCAACACAATCAAGCCGACGTCCTCTTGCATTATATAAATATTTTCAGTTGATGTTCAGACGTGATAAACATAGTCACCCACATCATGGTCGTGTCTGTCACGAGACCAGAAAGACATAGACCACTTATTCCGAAACTAGAATGCAAGAAATAAGCTTATTCAATTCATAATTAGGGTCGAATTTCACTTTGAAGCATTTGCTTGGGGCCACTCATGGGGTAACATCTAACATGACAAAGTAAGAGATCTTTTAGTAGTTTTATAATAGAAATTAAACTGACCAACAACATTGACCACAAATTTAAAAATATCAATAGCAATTTCTCTACCAAATATATTGTCACGAGGCAACCCCAGCTATTTTTTCCAAGTGTCAGGGCACGCCACTAGACAAACCACTTTTGAGGCAATTCCCCAGCTTATGTAGGCATGTATTGTGTATCCAGGAATATGAATATCTATATCATAATATGCACTTAAGTGTACACCCAAATAAATGGACACCATACATCTGTACTATAAAGAGAATGAAAGATTTAGACAAAATGCATGCATCACCAATATAATGCTCTATGTTTAAAATAAATAAAAAATGAGCGAGACCATGACCACTTGCTTGCGGCCCATCCAAAGAGGCAGAAGGCCATATATAAGGCGGTAAGCACACAATGACTACTGCATTTTTCCCTCCTTTTTGGACAGAAATAAAAATCTTCACATCCACATTCTCCTCGAATCATCCATAGATCAGGAGGATAAAAAAATGTGGCAGCAAATGCAACAAATTCAAAAGTGAAGGAAAGAGAAGGAGCACTAGAAACGTGTATACGAAGTCCCTATCAGGACACTGCACTAAAAATGAATCCACGAAGAAACTATGCCTCCTAATGCTTTCTCGAAAGTGTTTGCATCCAAAAAGGAAAGATCCCAAAGGAAAAAAGAAAAAAAAGGACCTCACAGTAGGAGACAAGCAGGAATGACTAGACTATCATCTCGGCCCATCACCCATCAATCATCCGAAGCAATCACATGTGGCAACAGAGCACATAAACCGCCCGTCCAATGTCAATTCTATTCACTCATTTGAGCGAAAGCAGTCGCACATAAAATAATCCTCGCAATACATTTTTATGCACCTGCCAATCCCAGATAAGTAGTTAACCCCTCACTTCAGTCAAGTACCTTTTGTTGTCTTCGACCTTCTCAGCAAAATTCATCAAGTCAGGAAAATCAAAGGTTCGAACAATGGTATTCACATCATAATCGAAAAAACACACAAGAACACCATGCTCATTTACAGAATCATACGGGGAACAAGTTCCCGATGCATCAAGAAAGAGCAGGTCACTCAATCCATACTTGGCAGAGAGAACGACCCAATGGGGATATTTCGCCACGAGAATTACTGCAGAGCCGAGTTTGCGGCGGTCGCGGGATCCAACATATTCGATGTGGCAATTCCAACAATTGGCAACAATTTCATGACGAAGCTCTATCCCCTATGCGTACTACAGCTCAGTAATCATGCTATCTCAACTTCACAATTAGCAGAAAACCCATTTCCAGAACTAAATTAGTTCCAAGAAGAAGACAAAGAACGCGAGAATCACGGCCATGACACGTCGCTAACGTAAAGTTCCCCCCCGCCGTATTCTGCCTCGACACGCATCAAAACGAAAAGGGGAAGCAGCGCAATTTTGGGGGGGGGGGGGGGGCGCGGGGAGCAAACACCCTCACCTGCGCGACGGCCTCCTTGTCGTCCTTGCACGAGGCGACGATCGAGTTCTTCGCCCGGAGGATCTCGTCGAACGACGCCGTGTCCGGCACGCCGAGCAGCTTCAGCGCGCTCTCCACCGACATCTCGAACGGGGCCGAGTCGTCGGCCCGCGAGCCGGCCCGCGCCGCCAGCAGGCCCCCGGCCCTCCCCCTCCGCCTCCGCCGCGGCGGCGGGGCTGCGGGGGAGCCGCCGACGCCGCCGGCCCCCACGGGTCGGCGCGGCCGCCGGTGGGGCGGAGGGGGCGCGGGGAGGCGGGCCGGCGCCGCGGGGAGCGGCGAACCGGGGGGGAGCCGGTTCGGCCGGACGGAGAGGGCGGTGGCGGCCATTTCCTTCTTCTTCGGATTGATTCTTGTTGTTGCGTGGAGTGTTCTCGCTTCGAGTGAAGTGAAAGGTCGTGTTTTTTTGTGTGTGTGTGGGGTGGATTGGAAATGGGGGTGGGAGCGATCGGATGCGGGTGGGGTGTACGGTGAGGCCCGGCGCGAGGGCCGTCGGATCGACGGAGAATTTCGGGGACGGAGGCGGCGATCGAGGGTGGATGTGACTAGTGGCGGGCCGTGGCAGATTTTTTAGTGGGGGCGGTTTCAATTTTTTGTGGTCGGAATTTGCTGTTTCTGGCCATCGGTTGCGTTTTTTTTTGTTTTTTTTTTATTATCACGAAAAACTCTAAATTAATATATTTATGACAAATTTACTCAAAACCATTTTTTAACCACAAAAAGCCCCAAACTGGTACATATATGATAATTTTATCCCCGAATTAATTTATTGACCACCAAAAACCCCAAACTGGTACACATGTGATAATTTTACCCCCGAATTAATTTATTGACCACCAAAAACCCCAAACTGGTACACATGTGACAAATTTACCCTCCGTTAATTTCTGTTACATTTTACTGTCAAATTGCTAAGTTTAATGACACGTTGGTAATTGACAGGTGTACCGGTTTTGGGTTTTACCCCTCTGTTTGTCACAAGTTTACCAATTTGTGGTTTTTCGTTATATTAATCCAATTAAAGGACACTAACGGAGGGTAAATTTGTCTCAAATGTACCAGTTTGGAATTTTTAGTGGTCAAAAAAATAGTTCGGGGGTAAAATTGTCATAGGTATACCAGTGTGGGGTTTTTGGTGGTCAAAAAAATAGTTCCAGGTAAAATTGTCACAAGTGTACCGTTTGGGATTTTTGGTGGTCAAAAAAATAGTTCGGGATAAATTTGTCACAGGTATATCAATTTGTGGTTTTTTGTGGTAAAAAAATAGTTCGAGGTAAAATTATTATAGATGTACTAGTTTGGGGTTTTTCGTGGTATTAACCCTTCCTCGTTTTTTCATTTGGTTGCTCTTAGTTTATAGTCGGAAGAGCTGCAAATATAAGAAAATAAAAAATCACCTACTCAAATATGAGGACAAAAATAGCCTTGCTTTGTCGAATGTTTTTTAAAGAAAGGCCCATGTTTTTACTTGAGGGACAAAATTGGCAACCGGTTTTTTTTTTTTTGGTCCAAAATTAAAAATTTAACACTTTTTTATGAGCAAAAAAATTTTTAAAAAATGGAGTTAAATGGTTATAGATTCAAACGAGAAAAAAATATTAGAGATAAAAGGAAAGAGGATATCTAGCCACAACCGGTGCAGCGAAACTCTTGGTCACCTTGTTAGCTCCGGTGGGCCGACACCATGCACCATCAGGTTTCTCGAGAGCGCCTCACAAATGCCAGCCTCAGCGGCGGCGGCCACATCCTAAATTGGATGCTTTCCATTCGCGAGTCTTAAGATCATATCAAACTTAGAGTGCATATGATCCCTGTAATTTTTGGGTGAATACATATATGTTTAGTCATAATTTGCATCATGATCACGATCATGACTAGCATATGATCCCTTTAATTTCTCAGTGAATACATATATTTTTATTCATAATTTACAATAAAAATAGGTTTGCATGATGATCATTGTCATTGTTATCAATTATGTATCAACATCAACTACTGATGCGTTCGTAGTGATTCCGGAATTAGAGATTTTTGCGGGTAAAGTGTACGAAAAGGGGTGTTAAGTGATAATAGAATGATGTGTATTAGGACAAAGGATATGAGAGGTTCACTACCAAAGCATAAAGACACAAGCCACGAGCAAAGGATAAAAAACTGGGATAAATGGTGCACTCATCAGTAATCTGCACTACAATGGAGAACTCATTTCTATTTATAGAGGGACAAAAATAAACAAACATTAAAGAGACATGGGGACTTCCCAAATATTAAAGACATAGGAACTAGAAAACAATTAAAGTTCTAGGAATTAGAAAATGCATTAAAATCACATAGGAACTACAAAATGCAATAAAGACATCGAAACTTGAAATCTTGATTCTTCAGCCTTGCAGTTCATATTCCAAAAATTCGTCCACCGGCCTTGACCAAAAAAATAACCATATTAGGAGATCAACAAATATCCAAGGAAACTGTTTAGAATAGTCTCTCATCGATATATTGTTGATTAGCTTTGAAATCGGCAAATAATATGATGAAGTGATAACTTAATAATTGACTGGCAAAGGAAGAATCGACAACTCCTTAATCGATAAGCTGGTTGATAATCTTTTTATCAATAACTCCATCCTCCACCCATCGAAGCAAGTCATGATCAAAGTCTGCCTTGGTTTGAATAGACATCGATTGTGCTGAATTTGTCGATTGAATTAAGTCGGATGCTCCCACATCAACTACAAATTCATAAGTTCTAATATGGCGATCTAAAATGCATTTTCGGGAAAATATGATCAAGTCAGATTTGAGGATGACTATTTAGAGCGCAATTATTTTTCATTTATTATGCAACATCATAAATTAATAATAAGATTAAAACTTTAATTGGATGTAATATTATTTTTAATTTTTTCTCTAACAATTACAAATTCTAATCTAGAAAGAGAAACGATTTAATACTCTTCCAAAAACTCACATCAAACATATATTTATAATCTAAGAAACCAAATGAGGGAAGGACTATTAGGTGGGTTATGCATTAAATACAAAAAAAGTCGATGGTTATCAACGAGTGGGCATTGTGTGAATACAAAGATATTTTTTGGAAATTAAACAAAGAGACAGATGACACTTTTGACTTATTCGTGCGGCGCATAATAATTTTAATGGCAAATGAGAGTGACTCGAGCTTGATGCCAAACACCATCTCGACTCGATGCATATATTCTATGTGATAACTTTACACGTCAAAAGCTGTTGAGTCAAGCTACTTCAAATTCATGCATTTTAGAGAAGCATAATCCCAACAAAGGTACACTATATGAGTCAACATTCTAGTGGTAAATCGAACATGAAGTTTAATACAATTGAGTCGGACGACTCCAAGCTAAATTCGTTCATTTAGCTAAGAAGCTTGTCTTCCAATTGTCTTGTGAACTCAATACAATTGAGTTGGACTCTAAGCTCCCTAAGAGTTGATGGAATTGATCAAAGGAGGGGTGATGAATACATATTACATGTGCCTTATTTTTTGTAAAGTGAATGAATTTTATCAATAAAACCATATGACGGTGCTTAAGGATGAGTGTTTGATGAGCAACATTTACGAAGTCCATTGTAAAGCAACTTTAGTATGATTTGTGATTGGGAGTAGCATTAGACTTCAATTGGTTTATAGTCCCGATTACTGTTTGAGAGCAATTTATGATTGCACGGTTTTGCAAAAGAAATTTGTCACTAACTAGCATGGGATCAATAAGCTCCACTTGTTCTTTCCTTCCTATTTGGTCCATGTGAAGGCACTACAAGATTTATGTTTCTCGGGTTGAGGGTCGCTAGCATTGTTTTGAAATCTTACCTCGGAGTGATGTCTTTCTTGTTTTGCCGTTCCTTACTATCTCTTTGATCCTTGATGAAGTTGAAGTCCCCCATTGCAACGGGCAGAGTTTTTCTCTTATGACGTCAAGGTAAAATCTAATTGGAATTGGCCTTTTAGACTGATCATAACAAAACCATGTATGTTGAATATAGTTGCTTTCGACGAAAAAAAAAAAGAGCTACTTCTCTTCTTGAGGATTTGTTTGTCGGAAAGAGTGCCACACCATTGGGGGGATACCCTCGAAGATCACAATGAATATATTTGGGGTAACAATGCTTCTTAAACACTGATTGGAAAATAAATATACCGCTTTTTTGAAATATGGAGTCTGTCTATTCCTAGAAAATATCTGACTTTCTCTTTCTCTCTAGTATATTTTGAGATAATTGGATCAGAAGTTATAAAACTTGTCACGAAAGTTCAATTAAGTCATAAAAATTTTAAAATATACAATTGAGTCCTAAAATTTCAAATTGGTGCAATTAAGTCATTATATTAACTCCATCAACTTGACTAATGAAAAATGCTAATGTGGCTATTTTCATTTTTCTTTAGACACGTGGCGCTGATGTAGCGCCCACCAAGTGCCACATAAAAAAAACTTACATATATGAAAAGTAAAAAGGAAAAAAAAAAAAGAATAATTGCTTCTTCTTCTTCTTTGCATTATTTTTGTCTCTTTCCCGTCAACATCATCATCGCTACAATTTTTTTAAAGAAAAGGATAGAAAAATCTATTTCTTCTTGCCATTATCCCGGTCCCTTTCCCATCGCCATCTTCGTCGCTTGAAAATTTTAGAAAAAAAATTGATACCACAAAAAAATCTCAAACCGATACACCTGTGATAAATTTACCCCAAACTAATTTTTGGATCCACAAAATTCCAAATATGTACACTCGTGATATATTTACCCTATAATAGCTTCCGTCAAATTTTACCGTAAAATTACTGAGCTAGATGACACATGATAATAATTTAATTGACTTGGTAAGTCCACGTAGAAATCCATATCAGTTTGGAATAAAATTTATCACGTGTACTTATTCATGCATTTTAGAGAAGCGCAATCCCAACAAAGGCATACTATATATGAGTCGACATTCTAGTGGTAAATCGAACACGAAGTTTAATACAATTGAGTTGGACTCTAACCTAAATTCATGCATTTGGCTAAGAAGCTTGTCTTCCAATTGTCTTGTGAATTCAATACAATTGGCACCTCTAATTAGAACCGGCCCGTTTGAACTTGGCTCTTTTATTTTTTCCTTCCTTTTTATTTTCGTTTGGGCCCAGCCCATACCACTACCGCAGTTTTCAAAGCCCATAAACTCATGACTCTGGACTTCTATTTTAGACATTTCAATTTAAAGGCCCATGAAGCAGCTTGAGGACTCAACAAGCCCAGCCTTGGCCTGTCACTCATTCCTCTCCTCTCACCCCTCACTTCTCTAGCG